GCTGGGGGGTTTGTTTACTGGGGCTATTTTTTGGGGCTCCATAATCACATCTGACCCATTTGGCTTCCGTTTTACGTTTGCGGTTAGGATTAGGGTACCGGTAAATGGTTTCCGATTTTCGGGTTAGGGCTATGCCTTTATGTTTAGGTGTCCGGGTTACGGTTAACGTTCGAGCGTACGATTAGGTTTCAGTATTACTGCTAGGTATTTCAGTTACGGCTATATCTAAGGGCTACGGTTACGTTTACTATTCCGGTTAGAATTAGGGTTAGGGTTGTCGTTAGGGTTAAAGGCTAACTTTTAAGTTTGAGGTTAGGGTTAGGGTTAAGGTTAGGATTGGGGTCGACGTCCGCTTCCCCATTCCTGGCTACCAACTGCAATCTAGCCCTTCTTTTGGCAGAAAATCACGACTTCTTCAAATAATAAGCTAGAGCAAAGGTTATAGCTGAGTTTTTAAATGTTTGCACCTTTTAGCTTTTTTAAGACCGTGAAATGTCTACTGAAGTATCACCTTATCTATTCGTTTAAAAAGGCTCCTCGTGGAGTATACAACATGGTCGCATCCATCGCACATTTTTGGGAGCCCTATACGGCATCTTATTGGTGACATAAGAGAATTTGTGATTTTATTTGCATGGAAAGTACACGGCTTGGAGTCTGATAACCATACTCGCAGATGCAACGTCAGATCGGACTCTTAAGTCATTTTGGAATTAGAAAAAAACTATTCTGAAACCTAAACCCACCCTTCTTTTGAGTATAAAATTTGAAGAAGTCGACATTTTCTATCAATGGAGCACAATAAGTGGTTTTTCAGGAATGTTTTGGATATACATGGGTATTGAAAATCAATAAAAAAATAATGCTGCACAAACCGAGCGCTTTTTCTGCAGACGGACGAAAATGGGCGTATTAAAAATCCGAAATCCTGACCTGGCTGAAATGTCTTGGAAGTACGCTGCACAATAATCGATTTTACAACCCCACTTAGGTGGTTCTTCCTAATGGACAACCCATTTCAAAATTGCGATTAACATTTCAGGTGATCGGTCACTGACTGTATTGCCTGATAACCTGCTCCCCGAATGCGGATCCGCGGAGGCGGATACAATTTAGATATATAAATGGTCAGAATAGTAAAAAAAAGTAGTTTAGTTAACGTCGCATGCTTCAGGCGAGGACCGGTTGATTACTCAGCGCTATTTCGAAACAGAAGGGGGTTACAAAGTCGAGGAGGGAAATTCCGAGAAAAAACTTCCAAAGACGGAAAAGACTGGGACGTGAATTTATGATTGCTGATGGCTGCGAAGCACACCTGTCGGCATGTTTCCGGCTTAAAACCTCATTCGACTCTACGGTAAGGTGATACCATACTAACAGCACAGGTACCAGCCAAAAGCCCATACACGCGTGTTTCGCCCACATTCTGCCGCTGCATGGCGCAGCTGCGAGGGGTTCGGCTTGTCAGTGGATCCCCCAGCATTCTCCATCTGTTTTCTGGTAGATACTCGAATTTAGAAATTGTCGCTTTTTAATTTCCTCAGAAATTATCTACGAAGTTGGAGTAGATCAGTTTAATTCAAGGTGTATTGGACCAGACCGAGACTTTTATGCATGAATATTTAGGCCGAAGTCCATCAGCCACAGCGGGTAACCGAGTATTATTCATTAACTGCCGACAGGCAGCTAGTAGTATACAAAACATAGAATTCTTTGTCTGAGCCTATAGACCGTGAATAAACTGATCTACTCCAAGTTCGCAGATAATTTCGGAGGAAATAAAACATCGACAACCTCATTCGACGTCCACCATTACCAACGGTATTGAAGATCGTTGCAAGAGGGCTCACCGACCCCTTTACGCCCTGGGTCTCAATCACCAACCCTCGAGGGCAGTCGCTTAGCGGCCAGCATTGATGCAGGAATGAATGGCAACAAAGATAGGGCCATTAAGGCCCGGACGACCTGGGATTCGAGCCCGGGATCATTGGTCATTGGGTGTTTTCAAGTCCAGCGCATTGCCAATGAGCCACCGGCTCGTTGCCTTGTCGGTTGCGTGGGGTGCCCTAAAACGGACTAGGCAGTAGATGCACTGGGCCAACACAGGGGGCCACATCGTAGTCCAGCAGGCGTTATCTGGGATGCGCAGCCATAACAAATGCCGACATTCGGGGTCCGGTGGCAGGTCCAGTTACGGGCTCTCGCTGCGCCAAATGGGATCCCTGCCGCCCCTCGCCTATATTTGTTGTCGTCAGAAATCCTGGTCACCTGTTTTTGTGGACCAGGGAATGTGGTGGTACGCCTAGGTGCGGGTTTTTGCCGTGCCAGCCACCTGCGCCCTCTCAGGCCTCCGGTCATATTGACTCTGCCTTGACATTGGGTCCAGCTGGGGGAGGATGTGAGAGTGTGGTAGATGCTGCGCAAGTCGCCGTCCCTGCCCTCACCCTGCTGTGGAACACACGGTGGACATCGTCGGCAATGACGGCCGAACAGGTATATTATTGTGGCGCAGTGGCGCGGGTCGGATCTTATTTCGTAGCCGTACCTACAGTAGACAAGCCCCACCACCAACCCCTAACGGGTACGGCTATGAAATAAGATCTTGTCGTGGAGCGTTCACAGACCAGGCAGTCACCCTCCGCCGCGCTTTGGGGCTCAGTCCAGAACTCTCACAGGCAGTCCCATAGCCAGCGGTATCTATATAGGGAAAAGTACTGCCGCGGATGCCAGCAGAAATCACTTCGGCTTCCCGCGCCAGCTCCGCAATCACACTAGGACTGCGATGAGCTGGCCTCCAGCACAGGGACGCATCCGCAGCCGGGGGTCGTCTGTGCATTCAACACGTCCAACTAGATGGCAGCCTCTGAGGTCTTGGCGACGGCCCTCCCACCCCCCCCCCCCGCGCCCCAACTCACCTCCGCATTCATGTTGCTATTTATGTGTGTGCTCGCGCGCGCGCGCACGACGAGGTAACTAGGCCAGTGAGTACTTTGTGCGAGTAGGTTGTTGCTCTGCAGGGCTGGCGAGGGCGGTACACGATGTGGGAGTGTTCGTTGAGTCCACTTTACGACACAAGTGAGGAGGGGGGGGGGGAGGGCCGGAGGACACATGCTGCCATTTACAGTTGCCAGGCCAAAGTTGCCTACCCGATACAGAGTGAGACAGAGCACACGGAAGATACAGGCCTGAGTCCCGTCACCCCAGCAACTGGATACTCTGCAGAAGCAAAGAATGCACGTGAGTGTGCGTGGAGAAGGCAGTTTTTTGGGAGGGGGGGGGAGGCGGTGGTCTTCCCAGGGCCAGGCTTGCCTGTCCTGAGTTGATGGACCGGCCTGCTGACCTCCCAGACAAATAAATTGTCTCTTGTCTACCTCCTTTGTGCAGTCACATGGTTTATAGGGCATGGTGAGGGGGGGGGAGGGCTTTCAACTTACTCTGGACGTGCTACTGTCAAGCAA